CATGGGCCCCTAACATGGGCCCTTAGGGGATTCTAGGGTCCCTTAAGGGTATATATAGGGTATATAGTGGGTATATTAGGGTCCCAGGGTTAAGGGCCCATACTAGGGGCCCATGGGTTCTACCTTAGAGCTTAGGGTTTAAACCAACTCACAAGAACCCTAAACCCTAAACCCTAAAAGGAATGGTAATCCGCTGTTGGTGGCGGCGCTCCTCTCGGCCCGTGCGGATGCCAACGATCGGATCACAAAGGCGGGGTTTGCTTGTGTTGTGGGTTAGGGTTTAGGGCTTTGGGTTTAGGGTTTAGGGTTTAGGGCTTAGGGTTTAGGGTTTAGGGCTTTGGGTTTAAATTTGGGTTTTAGGGTTAGTGTAGGAACCTGATTAAGAAACCCTGGCCCTATAACCCCCAAAAAATTAGGATCCATATCAGGAACCCTAATAAAGACCCAAGGTTCTTGGTTTTTTCAAATCAGATTCCCATATTCTTCGTTTATGGTTGGATGTGACAACTCCTTCTTCCATGGGGTGCGCGCTTCGCTGCCTCGGGCTTTTAGCATTCAGGGATTGAAGGGTTTGGGGTTTAGGGTTTAGGGTTTGGGGTTTCGTAGCCCCTTTTGTGGTTTAGCCGACGATGTTACATGAAGGATCCTATAAGGTAACCCCGAAAAGGAACTACAATGGAGACTGTAGGTAGGTTCAGGTTCCGGTGCAACCTTCACGTCTTCGGGGCTTCCGATCGGGAGTGTGGGGCTAGCGGGATGTTGCCTCAAATATTTGGAGCTTTGGGTTGGCGGTTCCCAGACCCCGGGGAGGATGTTAAAAGTAGATCCCCTAATTTGGGACTGGACCCTAATTACTCAAGGGTACTGTATAGGAACCCCCTTAAAGGATCTACTTTTTGGATCCTCCCGGTGGTCTGGGCTAGGGTTTAGGGTTCAAGGTTCAGGCTTGCAAAACCGGGCACCGAAATCTTGGGTCCTTTCGCCCCTCAGGGTAAATGCCGCTGATGATGTTGACTCGACCGCTGTTGATGCTATTGCTACTGGTGCTGCTAATGACAGGAACTGGTGACCTCACACCTCTCCTTACCCGATCCTTGAAACCCAAGCCAAAACCCTAAACCCGCATACTGGAGCCATACACCGACCTGAAGAACTTCGCACCTTCCCGAAAACCTCAACCTCGATCCCCAACACAGCTAAACCCTAAACCCTAAACCCTAAACCCTAAACCCTAACACACTATGATGGCACTCCGAAGGACCAAAAGAGCTCCATTCAGGTTACCACCGTGTGAGGTTCGGAAAGCGTGGCCCCAGAGCCCTAAGCCTGTTTAGGGGTTAGGGTTCAGGGTTTAGTTTACAGCGGGGTTTAGGGTTTAGGGTTCAGGGGTTAGGGTTCAGGGTTTAGTTTACAGCGGGGTTTAGGGTTTAGGGTTTAGGGTTTAGGGGTTTTGGGGGTTTAGGGTTTAGGGTTTAGGGGTTGAACACCGAACCCTTTCTGTGAGCCCTAAGACCCTCTAGAAAAGCCCCCCGCCAAAACTACAATCCGTCGGCCAGCCTTGTAAGTACAAGACTCTTGTGGAAACCATGACAGACGCACAGAGGTCTTGCGTAGCTGCAGAGCCTTAACCCCCAAGCCTTAATCCTAAACCCGAACCCGACACCCTATATAAACCCCAAATCCTAAACCCTAAACCCTGAGCCCAAATCCTGAACCCTCAATCCTAAACCTTTAAACCCGAAAATCTAAAACCCTAAATCCCTAAGTCCCTAAACCCTAAACCCTGAAACCCCAGAACCTAAACCCCCAAACCCACCTCGCTCAGATTCGCCAGGGCCGGCCTGAGTGTCAGATGCAGAAGAGCATGCCAGTGCTGCAGCTCAGCGCCTACTCTCGGACTCCTGGCTTTAGGGCTTTAGGGGTCTAGGG